GCTTTACAGGGAGGAAATACTGTTTTGGTTGTTGTCATGTTTCTCTTGTGTGAAAAAATGGACTGAAACTTCTTTTGGTTGTACAATCTTCGTTTGAAAAATAACGATAAATAATCCTTGAATCCTTAGTCGATACCACAGGCCTGAAATAGTCATAAATCAAAGAATTGCTTTAATAGACTGACCCAAATTATTGCATTGTATATAAGCAGATTTTCTGGATCTTATTGGCAAGGCCCGCCCTTGCCAATAAGCTAATGAGGCCTGTTGTGTAGAAAAGCAGAAATTATTCGCTGTAGTGGCATTTATCCAGATCACTGTTGCACTCCAACACCTACCTTTTCTGTTTCTGTCTCCTATTGGAAAATAAGTAGACATATTTACCGTATTGCCCTGCAGGCTGTCAAAGTGTGATATTAAATACCCTTGGTGTTTGTTTTAGCAGGAATTTTGCAAAAACACATTATCCCAAAACTTTTGAAATGGAATTGGATTTGAAACATCCACGGAAATCCAATATAATATGGTAGCTGCTATGTAGTTCAGTACATTACATTTAGCGGTGGAAGCCAGCAGGGGCCCACACACACATACACACACACACGCACAAACTCTGCTCATCTGGGGGCAGGGGTTGCAGTTTATGGAGCGGAAGTGCAAAGTATCTATGTTTACTCACTGCACTGAGGCTTAGCAAGCAAGGGAACAGACACATGTGGAAAAGAGAGACAGGAATACGTATGGTTGTGTGGGTTTCCACATTCGTGTTTGTGTGTGCCCCTTGTCCATCCCCCTGTGATGGCCCTAACCTTCAGTCGCCCTCTGACTTCACTAAGTTAAGCTTGCGGGCTCACAGCTGCCTTGCAGAAGCACAGTCATACAATAAATACATGCATGGTTGGGTGGACGAATAATTGCAAGCTTGACTGATAAGTTAGAGGAATTAAAGTGGATAATGCCTGGCTGGAAGGTGAATAAATACTCTAACAGGAGGGACATATCATTGTCCTCCCTCTGTGCTTATTTGGACGTGATTAGGGTTAGCCCTAACCCTAATCACTAGGGTTAGTCAATTGTTTGACTGGCTTGAAATTAAGGATTCTATTTGTACAATGTATCTGCTATACATTAATGATGCTGGGATTTAGGGTTGTGGAGTTGCAGGAGATATAATTAAAAGCCTATGTTTATTTTATAACCATAGTCTAAACATACTAAATTGCATGTTTGACGGCTAAAGGCTCTAAATACTACAATACATGTGAGACTCCACCACAGTTGATTTGGGGAGGAAGCTTGTCAGAAATGCAAATCTAAACTGTAGTATATTCAGAACCCTGCAATTCACAAACAAATACACCCCTAATTTTTTCCAACATTTGAAAATGAATCAATATAAGTTACTTTGTTTTTTGATGAGAAATTTGGGGAGACACCCTTTTGACTTATATTCATTGGGTTCTTTCAATTCAGTTCAATTTTCAGATTAAAAAAACCAAATTGTACTTATATAGTCTAAAAATGTACAGTTTTTGAAAACTGGAATGCATTTTGATGTCAATATCCCAAAAAATAAGAAAGTTGCTAAATTAGTCAAGTGAAATAAGACACGCAGGAGTCTCAGTATGTGCTTCTAACCATGGGGGCAATAAAAATGACAGCATTTTTGCATAACTGCTTAAGACAAGTGAAGGAAGTGAGTCGCTATCCTGACTGGGTTTAAAGGGGGTCAAAACTTTTAGATGGTTCAATATTGAGCAACACATAAGCTGTCAATCAAGGTACTGTTATGTCTCTTAATTTTGCATACAATCTGTGTAAATGTAAACATATAATAAAGGGTTTTAAGTAACGTATACATATATGTAAAGGTGAAAGTAGTTTGTAGCCATACTGGAGTTACCCTACTCAAGCAAAAACTTAAAGAAGGTTGGGGTTGTCAGGGAATATTTTGCCCTGCATGTTCTCTTTTGCACTCTGACGCAGATACCCAGCCTTGGGCAGCATGCTATCTCCCTTAAGGAGGGGCTGCCCTAGCATTTTGTTGTTGTTACCAGTTTATGACTGCGTAACTCTCGGTCAGAGATAGTTATTGTTGTGGGACACCTGGAACACATCCTTCTCGGGGTGCAGATGACCCCGAACCATAAGCGACAACAAATGTGATNAGAGAAAAATGAACATCACATTGTCAGGGAATAATTCTGTATACATGTTTACCTTTTGCCCTCTGACGCAGATACCCAGCCTTGGGCAGCATGCTATCTCCCTTAAGGAGGGGCTGCCCTAGCATTTTGTTGTTGTTACCAGTTTGTGACCGGGCAACTCTCGGTCAGAGATAGTTATTGTTGTGGGACACCTGGAACACATCCTTCTCGGGGTGCAGATGACCCCGAGCCATAAGCGACAACAAATGTGATTCAGTGTCCTCAGCTGATCAGTCTATCTATTGAAGAATGTTGATTATTACACTCTGAACTAGTTAAAACCTCGAGCCACAGGAGGGTTCTTCAGAATTGATTTTGGCATCTCAACCGTGTGGTCAGATCGTGGCCCATGACATGTCTTGTGAATTCTCCGGCCGAAGCTCCAAATAAACCGTCTGTTTGCCATCAAAGCTCCAGCTCTCCTTGTGTCTCTCTGAGTCCTGTCTCCAATTGCTTCAGAAGTTTCCCCCACAGGGGTCATTGTAAGGGTTAACTGCCATGAGCCTTCAGTGGCATAGGGCAACATTTTTTCAACTTGAAGCCTTTGACCACTGGGATAGGGGTTGACGGGTATATGGGTTATTTTCAGCGGTCTATAAGAAGGCCTGTTTAGCCCCGACTTTAGGCAAAAAAAAGAAAACACCAATAAATAAGACATAAAATAGCTATGGTAGATTTTTCTTCTAAAACAACCAACCAAAGTTCCCAAGAACTCCAGGTGATAGTTGCTTCCAAGCAAAGCCTTTGCGAGGAACATCCTATCTTATGTTACCTTGGAAGACCCTGAACTTTGACTCTACCAAACTGGTATTGGTTACCCATTTATTCAAGTTCCCGGAACTCTTTATATCAAGCCGTACCTAACTGGACCATTGTGGGGAGTTCAGATTTGCTTTCTCCTGTGAAATGGCTGTGGGATAATAGTATGGAAGGTCATTGATATCAAACAAAACCTTTAACTGGAATGAATTTATTGTGGAGGTTATTCTTGTTACGACATCAGTTATTGTGAAATAACTGCACAGCTACAAGAACTTCATAACAAGAATGGCTCAGACTTCTATTTAAATGTACCTTTTTAGTCTAAATTGCACTGGTCAGAATCTGAAATATGAGCTAGGTTTTAAATCTGTAAATGACAAAAAAGTCCACAGGAAAAAAATCCTTTCTTAAATGTAATTAAAAAAAAAACATACAACATACTGCATGATGTATATTGTTTATATTTAATTATAAATATGTATAATTATGAATGAAGCATTTTGTGCACTCAACAGCTTGATTGTTTAAAGGTACTTAAAATAATTGGCCAAAAGCAACCGGGAATGGTCTACACTAAATGCCTCTTCTCTGTTTGTTTGTTCGATTTTAAATATTCCCAGTTTCGTATGCCTGTCTGTGGGTTTTAAAACTGTGCATGAGTCTGCTTCCTTTCCAGCATATTCACCAACCCTGTACACGTTCCAGGGATTAACTGATGCATAGTTGTTACATTTTTGTGTTGACTTGCCACTAACCTGCAGCTGATTATAGTTACTGAATAAATCCTGCATACCAGGTATTCCTTTTATTATTTTGTAGTAAGGAAATGAATGTGCATTCCAGTATACAGGCGTGCGTCCTTATTGAAAATGCTGCCCCACAATGCCTTGCAGCCGCAGCATTTGCCGTCACACAACAGTCGGCCGTTCACGGAAACAACCGATTTTCACCGAGATATGATATCATGAAAGTTACGGTGCTTATTAAGCTTTTTAAAACGTATGTGGTAACTTCCCAAAGTGCTTTGTTCTGAACGTTCATCAGTATTATAATCAAAAAGAGAAATATGAACGTTAGTTTTGACTGAAATGATCAAATAAAGTCAACATTTCACTGAGCTGTGTGGGGTTTGTTCAACTTTTAAAAGATGTTTGAATGGTGATATACACAGTGATAGATGTTAAAGACTAAAGTTTATAATAAATACATTTGTATTGATTTTAAGATATTTTCATACAATAATACGTATTGGGATCATTTGTATTAATGTGGACCGGAGGGAGAGGATGACGAGCATAAGTTTCACTTTCCTTTTTTATTTCAATTCCAACTTTGGTCCTGAAGAATATGTTTCTCTGTTGTCCACGTTCATAAAGCATAAAACAACAGCATCAGAGCACGGTGCAGAGTCTCTAGATGAGTTTACAGTAGTCCGTTCTTATTCTACATCCATGTTGTAGTCCGCCGTATAGAAAACTGTAGTTTCCCCATAGCAGCAGACACACAT